TTAACAGGATCGAGAGGAACAGACTATGGGTTCCCAGACCTGAATACGGTTCCACATAACGAAACAAACAAACTTGATGCATATGCCTTTGGCTCCAAAAGTGGATAGTTAGTTATTTGGGTAAATACCCAAATAACCAGAGAACCTATCAAGAGTATGGGGAAGCGGGATATATGACCCACAATGCTTCCGTACCAAATCTCTCATCTGTCGCCATCAACAATCTTTTATGACTCTGTCGTTGCCTACTTTCCGTTGTCCGATGCTTTCGATAGATCGGTCTATCAAGCTCGCCATGGACCCTCATTTAGTGTCAGACGATAATATTACGTATGCTATAACGCTTCTCCTTTCACTTTCCGATAATCAAATACGGCGACATATTCCCCAGTTTCAAGATCTTACTAAAAAGGTCACTGCAGTCACCAAAAGCGATTCGTTTAGCGCGGAAACAATAACAAACACAGCACAGAGGGATCTAGAGCTGGTTCGAAAATCCTTACTCAAGGACCAGACCTGTGTTATCCTCAGGTCAGCGCATGACCTTGGGAAAGATCCGCGAACGGCCGTTCTCTCACTGCGGACCGGGGACCGTGAGCGTTTTGAGGTATACTTTTTGCGTTTGCTCGCCTGCAGATACCTGGCCTTACGCCGACGCCAATACTCCTCCGATGATATGGAAATAGTGAAGGGGGTTAATCGACAACGTTCTAAATCCAAGAGGGAGGGAAATGGGCGTGCCTTCATCAATGCAATCGGGCTTCCCTTGACGAATCAGGCAGAAGATGGGCTGAAACGTGGGGAGAAGGTACTCCAGATAGAGGATGATACGGGAAATCCCGGTGTTTCTCTCGCCCTCTTGCCCTCTTTTGCAAAGCTCGATCACCTCTATTCCAACGAGGTAAGACGGGTACCAGAGGTATTGGCCAGCCAGCCACTAGTCTCTGGTATAGTACAGGCTTCGAGATGGTCACAGCTATTAAATTTTTATCAGGCCCTCTACAATGACCACGTCGGTAAGTACCCGATATTTCGTTTATACCAATTAACCCAAGCTTACGCGTTCAAGATTCATTATACTTAGCGAACGAGGAACGAAAAAGAATTGTAAACAGAGAGCAGGGTAGTCGTTAGAAGTTAAATCGGTCCTGTGTTCATTTTTAATGCCTCTATCCAGATCCTATCAGCATCAATGCAGCTCGTGTAATTTCATAAATGGCAGAATATTGTCACCAAAGGTATCTTTCCCAACTGGCATTTCTGAGAAACCTTTCCAAATAATAACACCACCACCACTGTGGACGGGCTGCACCCAAAGTTTACCAAGAGTGATCAGAGCTTGATGGGGTTCGAGACGGACTTCGATTGGTCTGCCCGTAAGTTCCGCCTTTGCGAGAGAACGGGAGGCGGGATACACTTTAAACATTCCATTTTCTGGCCCAACTGAATCTTCAAGGGGCCGAAATATGGAGATAGAGTTTGGGCTTGGATGGGCTCTCATGGGATCCGTCTTTAGTGTATTTGGCAGGAACCGGACGACTCGGACTGGTTGGTGGATGACTTCCTCGTAACTTTTCCGTAAGCCACCTTTAAGTAGCGCATCAACCTATTGCAACCGGCTCAGTCAGGTTCCATGAGTCTTCTTGTATTCATCTTATATCGAGGCTATTCTCCGTGAACTGATTAAATAACGCATCGGACTTTCCACCTTCCCAGTGCATGGAGGGGCTAGCATGGTCCCCTGATACTTCCCCAGACAGCTAGTCCGGCCCTATCACCTTCTTGACAGGCACAATCACCTCGGGTTTCTAGGAGATATCAGTGCTGACAATTTTGTACCGGATAGATTCCACATCTTTATCGCGCCACAGGAGGTCTTCGAATGAGCTACTCTCCGCCATGATTTGAGTGCGCTAGTCGGCCAGGTAACCTTATAAGGAAAGGAGAGAAGAGGGTAAGGAGGATGTGATATGGTAATACGAAAAAGGAAGTATAATAAACCATTCTAATTTTTAAGGGCATATTTAAAGTTGATGTCTCTCAATAAAGATAACTGCTGCTCTGGAACGTTGTAGTTTGTGGCCAAGTGGATTGTTTGATACAGCAAGACAATTATACCCTCTTTAATTCATTATATACAATTCAATATCGTACATATTGTACATTGCGGTGGGACACCACCTTATACACTATGGTCTGACTTTCCCTTCTTTTCCTCAAATATCATTTCGGTTCCTCTGGCACTGTGTTTGTTTGTTGAACGTTTCATTTGGGCGGTGGAGGTGGTGCGCCTGGCTTTTTGACGCCAGTGGTGTCATATGCACCACGTCCCATTTCGAATGTGGATAGAAGGGACAGAAGGTCGATGGTCGATCTAAAAGGGTCAATATTGGGCGGTCAAGTATTCGGTGCTGCAAGGAAGATGTACTTACTACGTGTTCAAGTGAAGAGATATGTTGGGGGGGGGGGGGGGGGCTTGTGGGTGTAGATGTCTTGTTTTTCGTTTCTGTACCTTCGCCCAGCTGGTCAAGCGTTTCCATACCACTTTTTGTGTGAGGTTGTTCTTCAAACGGGCCTCCCTTTTTAGAGCGAGTCAAAGTTTTCTTTTCCCAGCTAATCAATGCTCTGGAAGGTGTGCAAAGCAAGCTTTACTCGAAAAATGGAAGAAGATAGCTAATGAAGAGAAAGCTCTGCTAAATCAGATATCAGTTTATACTTATAACTTTAAGTCTACTAATCTGATATCCCAGGCCTCCCCCTTTTCTTCGTAACCCCTGTGCGTAACCTGAGGTGATCACAATCGGGACCTAGGATACATCCATGTGTCCTGGCTCCTGCTGATTATTATCCTGTAAGATTGCTTGAGTGTGGCTGAAGGAAACATACCAGATGAAAGGACTACAGCGGATTTATTGACATATTGTTTTGAGGATTACATACAGGGCACTTCGACTGGTTGCAAGTATCTTCTTCATATGACTTGGTTATCAACCCGAGGCAGTCGTGACAGTTACATGGAAAAAATTGCACATTGGGGTCCTGATGGCGGCACTTGTATCTAATGTAAACTCGATAACACATCTTTTCAAGGGAAACTTGTTAGTAAAAGCACCGAATAATATTTAGGTTTACTCACGTCTGTCAATAATAGGAAGCAAGAATCTCAAGAGGCAACTAGGTTGGATGAGAGTGTGTAGTCTTCTGATTTGAAGATTGACAAGAAGGTAGTTATGGGTAAGACATGAAAAGGCTAAGAAAACCATTAGTCGATAGAAGGAAAGATACTTATAGGTTTTGTGATACAGATGGCTTTGATAGGATGCTCGTAGTCAAAATATACTCTTCGACCTCATACCTTCAGCTCCGTTTTTCAGGAATAGTGACAATGCGAGGAATAGTTGTAAAACCAAAGGCTAGACCTAAAGCTCCCATTTTATGTACACGTAAGCTGGATATGCGGTGCACGACCTACAATGATCATACAGTAATCAAGAATACAAAAAAAGAAAAAGAAAAAAAAAAGAATGGGAAACCCCCCCTCCCCGGCTTGATATGACATATTAAAACCCGCGGATAAATAAATTCAACACAGTACTTTGTAAGGAATAAAATCCTTACGAATCTTCAGGCAAGACATGGGAACGTCTACACTAAAGGTCCAATGGAAAAATCCAAAATCTACCTCTACCATTGGTACTCTGTTTTCGTTTTGGTATACCAATGCTGTGCTTATTATCCGAAGATTTCTATTTTTCAGGGTGAGAGCTGTCACAGCATTTTCCGTATCTTTACGGAAAATAATCTCCATCTTGGGGTCTTCGGAATCTGGGTAATGCACTTGAGCTTTGTGGGGTAGATAATCATGGTAAACCTTGACGAACTGTCCGCGGTTAGGATATTTGAAGAAACAAGAGCAAACATTGGGGAAATTGTACCTCAGGCTGACGCGAGCCAGGATTTTGCTCACCAGAATTCAGCTCAGAGAGGGACGTTAAATCCGCAAATTCTGTTGAGGTACAACAGAACAGGTTTTGGCAGATACTACCAAGACTGAACTTCCAGCGCTGTAAGACACCAGGCATGGCTAATTGAAGCGTGCAAAAGGCGTTCTGAGTGGATTAATGGCAATATAGCTCCGTATGTACCAATTTGCGGTGAGACTTCGACAAGGCTGTCATCTTTATAGACAGCGTTTTGCTTGCACTTTCGATATTTTTTCGACGGTATTATCTGGTTAGTCTCACGCAGCAGAATCAGCCATGATACAGCTAAGGGCTCATCCTAATCAAACTAGAGACATACAGAGTGTTCTAGACCATTACTAGGCTGATGCTGCAAGAGGATTATCTTACTGGACCGCTGGTGCAGGGTAAAATTATGCCTCATCATGTACGTTCCCTACCGCTACAGGCTGTAGTAATCTCTGTCTCTTTTCTGTGAAGTCGATTGCTTGACAGGGAAGAGATCCTTTCAATACCCAACCCCAGGATATCTCATACCGCGCAAACCTTCATGTAGTCCTTAGTGTCCATTGTGAGTTGTCATACGCTAGCTATCCATACCTATTTCGTACTCATTGTCTCGTACTGCCGTATAAGCTCAAGTTCTTGTACAGAGTTACTATGCTCTATAGTGCATCAGCATCCTTCCGATGCAGATCAAAGCCCGCCGGCATGCGCATGATAAGTGGTTACCGACATGGACCTAGTCTAGGCCTATTTGAGGAGCGTGGCCAAAACCCCGCTTCAGCGGCAGATCTCAGACCATTTTCAAACCTCCATTCTGAACCATGGTTCAGAATGTCAACCAATGATAACTAGCCATTCTCAGAAGCATGACTAATACTTGACATTAAGTCCTCCCCACTTCTTTCGCTCTCACAAATTGTATTATATGATCACTGACCGCTCGTAAGAGACATTATTCTCACTCTTGACAGTTCCTACCTGCCTGTGTCCGACTACTCAAATCTTCCCTATTCTGACCTTGAAATTCTCAACATGATACAGAACGTTCATGATGTTTCCACTGCAATTGAGATCTTGATTCGCTTTATACGTTTTTATGACAAGGTGGTTGCAGAAAATATCAGCCTTTTGCTGAATCCAATTACGCGCGGTGATATTAACGGTGGATTACTGGTACTCAAGAAGCGTTTGTGTCAAGCAACTGACCAAGCAGCGGCCAACGAAGAGACGGCCAACGAAGAGACCACCAACGAAGAGACCATCAACGAAGAGACCACCAAAGAGACCACTAACGAAGAGACCACCAACGAAGAGACCATCAACGAAGAGACCACCAAAGAGACCACTAACGAAGAGACCATCAACGAAGAGACCACCAACGAAGAGACCACCAACGAAGAGACCATCAACGAAGAGACCACCAACGAAGAGACCATCAACGAAGAGACCACCAACGAAGAGACCATCAACGAAGAGACCGACCGCGAAGAAACCATCAACGAAGAGACTGACCGCGAAGAAACCATCAACGAAGAGACCGACCGCGAAGAGACCACCAACGAAGAGACCACAAACGAAGAGACTACCGAAGAGACCGACATTCAAATAGTCCTCCAAGATCCAGATTCAAAATTGATTTATGAGTCCTTTCGTCATGATCTTGAAAAAAGTGCGACAGAATTCATAGCTACCTATGGCGCGAACCCTGATCACTTCTGGAATAAACTGCCCTTGCTCAGTGATGGACATATCGTCAGCCAGTTATTGAAAGTGCTTGGCCACCATTCGGAGATGAATGACTTGACTCAGAGGCTGCTTGAGATTAAGTTATACGAACAAGTTCAATTGCTCGAGAATGCATTTGTAGAGTCAAATAGCACTCTGCGAAAAGGTGAGACAACTAGAAGCGTGGCTCTCCAACGTGTGCTAGGTCACAAAGCTTCTCGGGCGGAAGACTTCAAAGTCGATCGCGGGAAGAAGCTGTCGCATTTTGAGCTTGTCGATTTATTCCGTATTTCAAAGCCTCATTGGAGAAAGTGAGTTGATTATATCTTCCTTCTGATTGGTTCTCTTCATATTGATCATTTATAGATGGCGTAAGATCAGTATGTCTAAGGTGCATATGATACGTAAAAATCTAAAGCCAGTTCAAGAAGAATGGGCCAAAGACCTTAATGATGTTCTGTCCAAAATCTACAAGCAGATACCTTCACGGACTCCGTTCATCCCCGAAATGGGAGAGGGAGAAGCACGAACTCCAGATTCTGAAGCAGAAAATTCTAATCTGCCCATATTGAGTTTCTCAGCATCAGCCGACCAAGTTGACAGCCAGGCAGATAGTCTCGAGAGCAGGAAACGTGGAACAATACAAAAGGAACAAAATTCGAGTTCCGCAGAAGCGATTATTTCCAATAAGCGATCAGCGTGCGACCTCTACCCGCTAGCTACAAAAAGACAATGTGTTCGCCAGGTAGCGCTTCCTTCGCAAGGCCACACAGCGGAATCAGGCTTTCCGAACAACCGGACAGTGCAACCTAGCAACGACAATTCCGCGCGCCCTGGTATGCTAGATGTTAGCCCTTTACGTGACTTTGGCACTCAATCGAACCCAGTAATAGAATATCAGACCCTTGGATGCCCACTGTCTGATAATTCTGATGCTATCAATCTCAGTTCAGGAAATCAACCACGAAACTCATTTAGCCAAGCATCAACTGGAACTTTGCTACTGCATGATGGAACAACTATGTCTCAAAAACAGACTCAATTGTTCGAAGCCCGAACTAGGTCCCGTCAATCCAGTCTTGCACCAGTAGTCGGCAATTCCATCTATCCAGATGGTTACAGCACTGACGCCGACCCAATAGACGCGATAAATGCTTCTGCCGAACCTCGAGTTTCCTGGCCTACGGGCATGGACAGTTACGACCCTGATGCCGACCCAATAGACGCGATAAATGCTTCTGCCGAACCTCGAGTTTCCTGGCCTACGGGCATGGACAGTTACGACCCTGATGCCGACCCAATAGACGCGATAATTGCTTCTGCCGAACCTCGAATTTCCTGGCCTTCGATAGACGATATAGTTTCAGTCGAACATGGAGCATATCAATGGTCTCCGCCAAATATCCCGAACAATGTCTTAGGTCAACACTCTGTTACAGCGACATAGTTATGGAAAAGCAAGATATCCATATTAGGTTGTCTGTACCGATGAGTAATATGGTCATTATGGATGTATATCAATTTTGGTACTATTGGAAACATTATGACTTGTTCCGTAACCCTGACAGTAGTTGATCTCAATCCGATTTCGGTTTGGGGGTTAAGGCGAGGACGTAGTAAAGCGAGCCGGATATAATAATATCGTCTTCAAAGTAGAACGGCTGCGAACCTGGTGTGAGTTCAGGTCCATTTTCGACTCGCGGTGTTCCCTCGATTGTGCAAATAGGGATAAGATAGGCCGCTGTATTCACTATCTTCGTGGATCTCGTGGTCTTCCATGCCTGTAGATCATGACCCTTCAAATCAGGAAGTCCCGACGCAAGTTTTGCCAACACAGATTCGAGATTTTCGTCGACACAGATTGAGGTATCCTTGCCCCGTTTCTCCCAGTGCGCCTTCTCGAGGAAAGCCACAAGCTCAGTCATTGTATCCATCTGCCTTTTCAAGGCCGGCCTCAAGAACCGTAATATTCTGGGGTGATGATAATCGCTGCGAGTGCAAGTACTTAGTAACGAAATAGACTTGCAGAGTGACATAACCTACATTCGTTTTCATAGAGTAGAAATTAATGGGTGACATAGGATAGTGTCTGCGCGAAAGCAAAGTATCTGATGGAGGGGTTTTCGGGAAATTATCTTGATGCCCGAAATAAATACGTTCTCCGTGTTGATCCATTAGCGCAAATTTTGCCCACCTATCTGATTACCCGCATCGGGTGGAGCAGTCATTACCACCGTTATCGCACATCACGAGACGCATATCAAGCATGAGCTAGAGGTGCCTACTAGTGGAAATCGATCAGGTGATCAACGGGTTGCAGAACCGAATTGAATTGTAGTGTAATCATCTTTGGTTCTTTAACAAGGAACCCTTTAGCACTACATCACGTGTCCTTCTGATTATTCTGATGAGATATAATTAGCTCGGCCGGGAACAACGTTAATCCGTCCGAGGCTCATATTTTGCAGAGGCCACGATCCTCTTCAACACTTCAAGCACTCAAGTATCTCTGTACTCTAGGCTACGTTTTAGATAGAGTATTATCACTTCATTCATTTGCATTCTCTTTATGGCTTAGGCCTCGTACAGCTCGGACCGATCGAACTCCCACCATTCCCCTGAAACCACTTCATATTCTCCTTGAAATTATCAGTGCTTACCTTCGCCAGGTGCCAATGGGTGTATTCTTCCACTGCCACTTCAATTGGCCCAAAGGTATCTAGATCAAGAGGCGAAATAGGGATCATAGGAACTGTTTGGCACCTGGCATGGCTGGGTTGGGCAACATTGATCCACTTGGAGGATTGTGAGCTTTTGTCGTGTTTCAATTCGCTGCCGCTCTTCCGCGTGGTCCCGGATCGTACCGGGAACATCGTCATGAGTTTCCAGGATACCTCCTTGCTCCACATGTTTGACCAAGGCCTTCATGTGATGCGTCCTCATTTTATAGTGTTTCTTTCCCAGCGGATCTAGCCAGCAGTACTGCCCTTCATGATGACAAGGTAGTCCAGGGCAGCGCATTTTTTTATATACGTCGCGCCAGATCGAGGGCTGTCCCGACGACTCCTCGGCACTTACCTGCTCGTGAAGTTCGTGCAGCATCCCGTTAGTTGTTGAGGTATCCCCTCAGTCCTCGATGCAGTTGAGGCATTGTCCTCTATATAGTGGATGGAAATCAAAAGTCTGAGCTTCTTTCCTGACGAAATAGATTCTCCCATCGTAGAAGCTGCGTCTCAATAGGCGTCCAATCAACATCTGTACCTTCAAACCGCTTAGTAAGATCACGCTGTGAACGTTCGTTTACGGCAACAACAACAGTAGTATCATCTGAACGTACTCGTTGTACAATACGTTCGGCCTTTTCTTTTATTTTTTCCCAATATGTACTAGCGAATTTTGGCCTTAGGGCTCCTGAAACAAAATGTAAAACTTCGGGGTGACACTAGTTTCGACTCTCCCTGCATTGTGTAATGTGGCTTGTGAGAGACGCGTTCAAACGGACAATCCTGCGCGTCACTGACTAGGCGTGTATGTTATCGCACACCTTTGTTCGACGTTTGGAACCCCTAAGATTAGACCGTCTATCACGTCGATGTTACCTTCTGTTTTCCCAGCGCCTCCTCGTCTGCCTCTTGAAGGGATGTGTCCTGAAAGGCGCAGGACAAAGTCACTGGCCTACCAATGATGCTGTTGCAAGGGGCAAGGACTACTAGAAGGACAGGAATAGGCCAAACAGCAGTAGACCGCAATTAACTCGAGCTTCTACAATCCCAAGATAATTCCTAATATACTAGCCTTATTGGCTCTTTTCCCCCGCTGTGACCGCTTCCTGGATTCATAATTCACGCTCTGATTTGACCGCAGCCACACCAGAAGATCAACCACAAGACTGGCGATCAGATACCCATGCTTTACAGGCCGTCAGAGAAATATCCGACCTGAGGATTGCACAATGTGTCGCAGACTACTCGACATACCCTGAAATCTAGTATTCTCGGTTGCCAGGTGTCACGCCGGCATAACGGGCTACGGCACCGGGATGGCCGTACAAGACCCGACATGGTTAATCGCCTTCTAGTTACGGATCCCCCCACAGGCTATCCAGTATGAATGGCTCCCAGCCGGAAGTACGGGGCCATGGGTTGCGTCAATCTGCACCGCAATAACATTATGAATTGGCTGAGTGGAACGTGGTTGTGGATCGTATGCCAACTCGGGGCGCATATTTCCCAGACTTCGAGGTATATGCTGCTAAATCAGACATCGAAGTGCCTGCTAACACTAAATCCTGACGCACCTAGCATCCGAATACGAGACGACACCGTCAACCAGCGAAGCGAAAGACATAAACCACTCTTCCCTGATTCCAGGGTCGGCTTGCCTCAATCTATGCCCCGCGGATGCGCCAAGGATATAGCCTCGTCGGCTGCGCCGTTTGACCGGCTACGGTGCCAGTGTTGCGGTGGCACACGTTCACGGTCTTACCGTTGCCGACACTACCATGATCCCATAGTGTATCCTGCAGTAGGGGTCTGCTCTCGCCGTCGGACGGGCTGCGCAGACATGAAGATGTTGAAAGAATGGAGTACCCTGGACCCAATTCCGGAGCTACCTGGCCGGGGCCATGCGTTGGACCCGGGGTGACCGTTATCGCGCAAGGAACCGATGTCAGCCATGTTGGTATTAGAACGTCCGTAGGATAAAGACGTTAGGGAGATTATCACATCGATCAATATGCATAAGTAATCGTCAAATGAGCGGCCGTCTGCAGATCGGTCATTTGGAATGGCCACGGCCCTCACTTATTCTGGAGACGACCCACTTGAGGTGGTTCGTGGACGGTCCGGCAGCGTCGGCCGCTGTGTCAGTGTCTAACCACTGATGGTACGGCTCAACATCAATATCCAGTAACCTGAGCTCATCGCTCGTCTGGCTGAACGATCCCCTTGACCTGGTTGCGGATAGACTGTCGGGCACCCACTGTAGACGAGTGACCCGTTAGTATGGCTTGGCCGGAGACATCGGCCTTCCCCGGTCTTCGAAAAGTGTTCATACCGCCTACAAACATACTCGACGTGTATTTAGGCACTCCCTTATAGCCTGCGCCACATCTAGAGACCCTTCAATGAATCGGAGTCTAGTACCGGGTTTATGAGAGGGCTCATTCTTGCGGGTTTGACAGTAGTAGAGGGAGAATTGAAGGATATATCACGGTCAGATTACGAACGGCTGTCTGCTCGACTGTCGTAATACCTTGACTTCTTGGCGATCGAGGTCAAGCAAATGTTGCATATTCACCCAACGGCGATTATCTAGACATTGTTAGCTCAGTCCACCGTTCTATGGAAGATAACGATAAATTTCTGCGAAAGCGCGGTACCTAGGTCTTTCGTTTTCCAGACAACGATGAGCTTCCGTACCACGGCGTGGTGCTGTTCACTCGCTAGGACAAGTGTCTGAGTGAGCGAAAATACTCGTACAATCTCGACATCCTCTACGATGAGAAGCACGGTCCGTAAACGAGCAAGACCAGGCGGTCTCCCTTACGGTCCCAGCACGGGCGCGGTCTCTCGCACGTTGTAAAGTCGTTTGGCTTTATAAAGCGCAACTGCGAGTGCTGAAGATTGCGGGCGGACTAGCACATGTAGCGACGAGAGCTCGTGACTGTAGCTAATGTCTCTGCCTCTCCCAATGTGCACTCCAGACGAAGTGCTACGGTCACTGGGTCTGCGTTGGTGAACCCTCCGGCCCTGGCGTCTCTTTCCAGGATGCAATGTAGAAAAGCGGCAGTTGGCCGGCAATCCACAGGCCTGCATGTGGGAGCCAAAAGTACACATGTTGGCCCGGCTCAACCTTCTACCGAGAAGGAACGGTGATGTCCATCCTCAGAAGCTCATGACCCGGGAATATGACAATAGATGCCAGGAGCGTCCCCCGCGCTTCATTAGGGGGACAGTTAAGGAAGCTGCACTCAGGACGATCCATAGTGCCACTGCAGCCACCAAATATTAAAGGCATTTTGATCGACGTATCCAGACATGGTAGGACATCGAACCCAGACTGGTTGACCCCAAGTGATAGTGGCACTTCATCGCCAGATGCGGGTGACGGCAAACAACCACATACAGCGTCACGGGAAAGACCAAGATCATGAAATATGCTGCTTGTTTTTAATTAGATACATGATTGGTATGGGGGGAATATGCCATACTGGATATTTCCAGAGATAGTGAGTGATATCTCACCAGAAGGAACGTAATGCTGTCGTATGGCTGACACCGGTTGGTCATCATTAAGGATAGCAATACACACACACACACACAATTTATTAACGCCCGGCGGCTAAGCCGAAAGGGCAACTATCACTGGTCTATTATACATGTCCAAATATATATGCCTTGTCTCCTCGGAGCCCATGCATGTTTGCGTTCAATTTATGTCATATCAGCTGTCAGTATCGTAGCGGGTCCTCGTGGGTTAGTAATTTTGTTGGTAGACTAGCTTGAAGGCGCTTCTTCAAGTGTTCAACATCCTATTTTCGGCAATTGAAGCGCGTCTACCGCCTCTGGCACAAGGTGGTTGTTGTAGGTTAGTTTGGGGAGGGTATCGTTGGTGTTGGTTGAAATGGTTAAACAGCTTCGAGTCGGCCTGTGGCGATTGCAAACCGTATTGAGGCTCGTACTGCTTTCAAGTTCGGCGACCAGTCCTGATCGCCGGAAGGAGATTTTCCGCCTAGGAAGAAGGATAGATTCCCTCGGTGGGTATGAGTACATTGCAGCATTTCCGTCCGTTGTATGGTCCACTTCCGACATCGAAAGAGGAAGTGCTCAACTGTTTCACTTGCTTGCCCACATGCACACTGATCCGTCTGTGATATCTTGATTTGATAGAGATATCCATTTAATCTTGCCATGCCGGTTCGGAGTTGAGCCAGCACGCTCGCTTCTTTCCACGAGGGATAGCAATACAGGCTTTCCGGGAAACAGTGTCACTACCTACTGTCTTTCCTTCTTTCCCAAGACCCGCTTCTCGAATCACACTATTCCTTATGTGGCTAAGCACTGGTGACAGCCGTCCACTCGGGTTTAGAGTAGGCCAGAGATCCGTCCAGCTGTGGGGCATTATTTCTTGGCACTAGACTCGGGTGTGAAATACTTTAGTTACTAATATGACTAAGGCCGTGCAGCCCGGCCCCCAAGGACAGGGGAAGAACCCACGTTCCGACAAGTTCAGACGCAGTCTCGCACCTGCACAGGACTCAACAAGTGGACGTCGATGAGTCATCGGGTCCCGTCAACCATTCTTGAGCATCTCAGTAACCAAACCTGGGGCTCAAGCCTGCCTCCCTCAATTTGTTGCGTCTACACTCTTTCGTTTTCAGTAGATGATGTCTGACCTGACCTTCGCCTCGGAAATCTTTGAACGCTGAACTTGCCGCTCGAGGTAAATTCCACTTAGATGATAGAGTCAGCTTTGACAATCATACTAACGCCCTTGACCCCGATCAGATTGACCCATCCTAACCAAGCGAATCGTCGACCTCCCGCCGTTCCAGACCGGACTCAATGTTGTATACGCTATGTCAGTAGTGATTCGGGTACCCTCATTACATCATTCGCGTACAGATCTTCTCATAAGTTAATGGTCAAGAACTTTCGCCCTGGGCTGCGACCGATGCGTTTCTAGGAAGAGGTTGTCAGGCCCAACCCCATCCCTACGGAAGAATCCAAAAATTGAGATACAATTCAACCCGGCTAATGGGCTCGGCGGTAGTTCTGTTGCGAGTCCCTTATAATGACCTGACCACTTTGTAATACTACCTCTGCGAATCCAACATGGAATTCAATCTCGAGGATGACCAGATCTTTCAGCAACCATTGACAAGTATTGCCTGAGTGCTATGCCTCTATCTGATGAGCTTCGATTCGCGGTTGCGTAAACAGGAATGGCGATACAAGGGAAATCGAGAGAAGGGGCGCGCCAGGAAGGAGGTAACGAGTTTCATAATCGGTGGGGCGCAGGGTATCCCTTAACAACAGAACCGAGGAAGGTTTCTTTAGCTTTGGTTGTTAGATGACCTCAGTATTTGGTCACTTTGTCATTGTGAAACTTTGCTTCTATTCTGCCATACTGGAAATTTCCTTATTACCTATCCTACTGGTTACAGTTGAGCGGGTTCGCACGGTCGGGTAGGTCATCCAACCCATATTAACTAGAGGTCTAACAACCGGATGGGAAAAGACCTCCAGACTTGACATATTTAAGCGGAATAACAGCCAATAATTGCAACCTCCCACTCAGGTCCTTAGGGTATGCCATATTGAGAGTAGTATACCTCCGCTTGTGTCACGCGATCGGTATTTGAAATCTAACCTTTTCAGGTACAACCCCAATGGGTTGTCCCGTATTCAGAATGGACCTGTCACCTGGCTTTATATTATGATTTAGAAGGATCTCAGTTTACTGTGTCAACCTTGCCTAGCTATGGCAAAAAGACGGTTTCACTTTGAGGGTGACGATTCCCAATACATTGATTTTCTCGAAAATATTATTCAGAAATCCGGCCTGGTTGATAATTTAGTTATTACTCCAAGAACCAGATATGAATTACAGCACCACGAACCGGCACAAAGACGTCCCCCACATAATCCTACTACCAAAGATCAAAATCTTGCGGAGTCGCAAGCGTTTCGAATCATTTACTGTCATCCTTCCAAACATCCAAAGGATGGTCGACTGACTAAACCGCGATGGCAGAAGGAGCTTGATGACTTTATTGTACGGGTTCCTAATATTACCGACTTGGATTCCAAAACAAGGGACATGGGCCTTGGTGATAGCCGAATGGTTATTTCCAGCCTTGTGAATGGGTTTAGTTTCACGAATCCCACCTCTAACGCGGGCAATAACCCAATTGCTTGTCCCAGCATTCTTTCCACGCTTTGTAAATATGCCCTTTTTACCAAGATGTCCAGTGATAAAGCACGTCTCCTTTCTTGTCTAGCCCATTTTCAGGATCTTGTTTTCATATCTTTTTGTGACGTTGCCCTAGGGACTGGTCAATCTAGAGAGAAAGTCCACGAAGCTATGAGGCTTCACATTTCGGACTCTGAAGGGCACAACCTTGATAAAATTATATTTGGTGCCCGGTGGGCTAACAGGTGCATCTCAAAGCTCTCTAAGTCTAGCTGGGGTTTGAGGAGTTCAGAACTTTTTATGCTAAGTAAGTATATTTCGAAAGCAGACAATGCGATTTTGCTGATCTGTAGATGGGCAAACGATAAATTTCTATGCTCGGTATGCTGCTTCTGGCATTAAGAGCGAGCCATATATTCTGGATCAGCTGGGGAAAAAAGCTATGGGGGCTCCAGATCTCAATACGACTGAGAAATCTTTCGTTTCTATCCCTTGTATAATCAAGGTATTACTTCGTGACACGGTCGAGTATAGATCCCCAATACACGAATCTTTAAATCAGCTTCGACTAACATTTATAGACTCTCTACCATATGTTACATCCTTGGATATGACTATGAATCTACGCTGAGCTGTTTCCAAAACTCCTACGTTGAATTCGCGAACTATACTATCCGAGATACCATCCTATCCCCATCGAAAACCAACACTGAGATACTTCCTGAGTCCACTCCGAAAAGAAAGCAGAATCAATCGAGTCACCTGGCCCAAAAAAGATCTAGAACGGGCTCGTCATCCATATGTACGGAATTAAACTGGGATAAGCATCTGGACCAAGAACATTCAGTTACTCAGACTGGAGGATTTCTATCGCAAATGCAACCTCACAATAACCAACAGGCCGACGACTGCTTTTTGGATCAGTCCTTAAGATTTCTACCACAGTCAGGAGGCATTCCAATGGAATATACCAATGGGAACACGAGTGACCATGTTGCACAAGGTACGTCATAAAAATCTGTCAATGGAATAGGTTATCTGACTATTACCTTGCACGTGACCCTTTGTTAAGGCTCTCCAGCACAAATTGATTTATCGCCCCTCATGATCGACAGAATCCCGAGCTCTACTTCAGAACATCATCTATCGGAGTCAGGTTTTGAGGTTGCTTTACCATTAACCGACCACCTATTGCCAAATGACCAAGTAGAAGACAGTCTCACCCGATCGCATTGCGAAACCACAAGTATGGGAGATACCAGTTTACTCGATTGGGACCGGGATTTTAATCCTTGGTTGGGGTGGGAGAAGGACGTCTCTATGCCATTTTTAGACTGGGAAAGAGATTTTGGCTTACAGTGGCCACAAGTGGAAGAAGCTGCTAGCCAGTGTAATCTACAAGATACCTAGAACACGAGAAACAGACTACTATGCATTTGAATAGACAAGAGTTATAAACTTCCCTCCCCCTCCGGAATTATGAAAATATATAAGGGTACCACTCCAAGCAACGGCATCACCAGCTTTCAGCATCACCGAGGTTTGTCTACCAAGGGGTGGTTTTCGCAGGTGAGAACCTTCATAGAAAGTAAACCAACCATTATGTTGCCCTAGGTCCGTAACTGCGATAGTAACATAAACTTCTTCTTCGTTTGCGGTTTTCAGCTTTGAAGGGTCCGCTTTTGTTTCGTGGAATACGCCGATATTAGTGGATGCAGGGTGTTGGGGAACAGCGTTGAAGCGGAACAACGAAGCAAATTGGCTCTTATCTGAATTCTTGTATTGAATTTAGTCAAGTTTCAAGACGATATTAAAGTGTTCATTACCTTAATGAAGTCATCTTTGACTGCATATCCTAGAGGCGAGACTTGATACTCGTTATACTTCTCAAGACGCGCAGTTGGAACTGTATTTGAGATATTCGCATCTAATTCAGAAGCCAGATTCTGTATGAGCCGCTCGGACACTGCATTGGGCAGCACAATGAAACCTTGGCTGTTCGCCATTTTCGCGGTAGTTGCTATTTTGAACAGTGTACAGCGAATGTAGCGATCTCCAAGATACTTCTCAACAAAATGATGGATAGAGGCTGAGTGGGCTTAGAATTTTTAAAAATGCATCTGAATAGGAGTATCGTCATGCCAGAGGAAGAATTACATTATTCAAGGATAAATACCCAGCATTAAAGTGGGACTTCTTGGAGGGGTCGCCCAGTGGTGGGGTCTTAGATACCCGACCTCTACTGAAACTCTTCCCATCAAAGCAGCTCGGAAAATTGTTTAGCCTTCATCCGCACACTCACCCGAATGATGGAATGCAGTATGCAGTGCATTGAATTAACCTGCCTTTTATTTTTATTTTTGGGGTGCTTTGAGCATATTGGAGCTAAGTACGGCCTAGATAGGCGGCTAGAATGGTGCAATACTTTCGATTAATTGCATAATCTCGTCTTGTTGAAAATATCTTATTTGAAATTATTGGTCAATTGCTAAGAACCACCCGATCTTCTACATATAGTCTATCAACCAGCACTTTCGTGACAGCTAGATGACGTGCTGGATCCATGCAAAGTAATATAATCCATAATGATTTTGCTCAATAGCTACTCAGTTGTAGGATTTTCGCAATGTCGACAACCCATCGCTCGTAAATTCTAATCCGAAATCGTTATAACAACGATAAAATAATTCCCAGATCGCTAAAGCCATTCGTTCTCAAAGCAGACCCCATAAACAAAACTCACGGTCATCCCACTTGTGACGTGCCTTTCGCCGGCGCCATGTTTCCCAATCGACAATGTAGCTACAGGTAGATAATGTAAGTTCCATGAAAAATAATGATGGTACTCCTTTGAATACTTACCATTGCGCATTTTTCTCATCCCATATAAGGTTGCGGGTACCTCTATCCATATTCAAAAAGCCACAATCCAGGCATTCCCTAAATAATGTCGTAAGCAATCGGGACCAGGTAGCAATGTCATAGTCTTACATATATGACGTTTTGAATGCTTTTCGCAGCCGCTGTTGCTGTTCATTATCTAATTCGCGGACCAATTCCTGTGAAACTGTTTTCCCTTCAAGTCTCGTCATCAGAATGTAGTCAATGAATCCTCCAGGGACCCAGTCGTCGCGGTTTTGAGTTTCATGCTTCCAAGCTTTAAATCCTGGTGTGCATGAGCACCTCGCCTTGGTCAGTCCCTGAAGAGCTTTGATTTCCCGCAAGGTTTGACCTCGGATATCTGCCTGTGCTTGTTGAGCTCTTATGTCTGGAGATTCAGACTCGGCTCCAATGTATGGAATCCTAAAAAAATACATTAGACATATAGTAAATCAAGGGGGGTATGCGTACTGCATTCGGATCTTCATAACTGCCTGAGCTAAGCTCACAGGTTCTTCACAGACAAAGATGCTGCATGATTCGGAGTAAAATTTATTCTCTTCAAACTCTTCCTTGGTATAACGTGTCTCGTTTTCTTCGAGTTTCTCGACAATTTTCCACGAAGAGGAATTTTCGAATTCGACATATTGTCCAATCCAGATTGTGTTAAACCAAATCTTCGAGTCGCTGGACATATCAAGAATGAAGTCTTATCACTTTGTAATCTCACAAGATGCACAGCGTGAAAAACGGGTTGTTCTAAGCAGAGGTTTGTTCATTAGCATTTTCCAAACAAATAGCCTGCAGATAGGATGCGATAGACGGATTTATATTTTTCCGCGATCCCAATCTCCACATACCTTTTTGGGGCCTGCAATTTGTAATTCGGCTCTTATTGGCGGTTGGAGCCCGAGTAACCTTTTTGGGTACAACCCAATGAGTTACCCCATATTAAGAACAATGTCATGTCTAAGCCATGGGAGCGCTTAGGCCTCCTTGGCTTTTACTTATTTACAGTCTTGATGGAGTTTTGAGAACTCTACCAGACTATACTCCTTCACCAGACTATTCTTTATGGTAGTTTAAATATCTCTTTCCACCGACACAAGAGGGCAGAGTATCGTGAACTTTTTTCAGTTTGAATGAAGAACAACAAACTTTTTAATCATGATGCACGCTCCCTTAACTGGCAAAGATATCATCCGACAGCCACTTCTCGATTTACTTGTATCGGATGATTATCGTACTCGGTCCAAATCAACACACAAGCTTTGGTTTCTATCAACTTTGGCAATTTGGGATATCGAGAAAGAAGCAAGGCACTTTTCAGTGTCCATAGATTGGACAGCTGATATCCTGGGCTACGATCTTCCAAAACAAGAAAGAATTTTTTGTGGCGATGAGCATTCTGTGGTCGGTCGCTATAATCAGAATCTTTGCCATGACTTAACACCTATACTACAAGAGTATATTCAATCAGGTCTTCATTTCGCCGACTACAAATGTGCAATTAATCAGAAGGACTTTAAAAAGGTTCCTGACTTTGTTCTTCTCGATAAAGAGCACAAGCCAATTCTTGTTGGGGAGGCGAAAACACCCTGGCTGCATGATATCGAAACAGCCCAAGCTGAGAATGTGACGTTTCGAAACTATCTTGGTAAGCTCCGAGTCCATAACTAGCGCTTTCATCCGTGCATTAACCTTGTTTATGAAACATAGGCCAGATCGCTATGTATATGCGCGCGACCAAGTGCAGATTCGGTTGGCTTACCACGTATAACCAGAGTATGTTCTTCAAACAGGAGCCACATCCAAAAAAGAAGTACAAATGGGTCCTTTGTCACTCACCTGTCATTAAACATGATACCGAATGGCAAGAGGTCTTAGGAACCGAGGAGGAGTTAGATGATCCCACCAAATATCGAAAGAAAGTCACATTGAGGGAGTGTTTTGTCTATTTGGCCAAGCAAGCTAGCAAAAGCAGCAGCATCGACA